AAAATATTCTGTGAAAGTTCTCAAAAATAAATGTTTTTCTAAATTGGATAAAAATTTAAAATCTTACAAATTTTTCGGTTTTTGGTATGCTTTTCACTCAAAACTTTGCTTTTTACAGAATTTATAAAAATTACCAAAACCGAAATTTCGGTATCAATTCGAATTGGAATTTCGGCCAAAAGTGATACCGAACTTGAATTTCGGTCCATCTAATTATTTTCATCATCGTCGATTTAGCGTCCTTGTTTTCGCGCTTGCACAAATTAAATATTTTTAAATATAATGGAACCCCATTTCCCCATAAAACATTAAAATTGTGTGTTTATCTGTTGTTTTTGTTAATTTCTAAGAAAATTTGAGTTTCTAAGAAACTTAAATCATTTAAACTATACCTTAACATTTAAAAATGAATTTAAATTTTTTTAACATTTAAAAATGAATTTAAATTTTTTTAACATTTAAAAATGAATTTAAATCTGTTTATAGAAAAAAAACATTTAAAATTTACCTTCTGATGTTGGATTTAAATTCAGCGTTTCTAAATTAAGTAAGAGCGAGTGTCAAAATTAATGCAATAAATATTTTGTTGAACTGTGATATTAAAAGTTTATATAATCACATTACAATGTATATTTATTGTTTTTCTATTGTTTATAATGTATTATGCATTATTATTATTAAATATATTTAGAATTTAGAATTGTATAGGTGACTATAAAATTTTGGAACTTCACACTTTAACTTTGCCCCAGAGCTTGCCCCCCAGAGCCACCTTAGAACAGCCCTGTATGAAAGTTTTTATGAAAATCACAAGCATAGAGTAAACTGAAAAAAATAAACGAAATTCATAACAGAAAGTTTAATTAGGCATAAAGATGTGTATACCGAAATTGGGCTAGTTCTAGAAAGTTTTTTATTTTATAAGTTTTAATTTCCTAATCTATTACTAAAAGATTTCCAAGAGTTTCTTTAGTTTGCTATATATTTTACTGAAATCACTTAACATTCACGCGTAATCGAAAAGGACTCCATTCGGTTGCACGTGGCAGCCGCTGCTTAGCCAATGCATTTAGAGAGGCCTACAAGGAATCAAATTTTTTTCTAATAAATTTTAATAATAAAAATAAAAGTAAAAATTTTTTTTTCGCCAAGATTTTTTTTTTGTAGTTATTTAGATGTTCCCAGAAGTCCTTACGGTCTTATCATAGAGCACCGCGGAAGAGCATTTAACTGGAAGTTCACGCCTCCTTCTATACCAATGTCGCTTGTCAAGCTAGAGCTGGTGTCAAAAAGACAATTTTACTCTTACCACTAAGCCCCTTAAAATAAAATTGTCAATATATATATGTATATATATATATATATATATATATATATATATATATATATATATATATATATATATATATATATATATTTTATATATATATATATATATATATATATATATATATATATATATATATATATATATATATACACAAAAATTAATATATATATATATATATATATATATATATATATAAATATAAATATATATATATATATATATATATATATATATATATATATATATATATATATATATATATATACATATATATATATATATACACACAAAAATAAATATATATATACACAAAAGTGAAATGTATCGAAAAGTATATGAATACAAATAAAAAAGGCTTTTGATATAGTTTTTCTTTACTTATTTTACATTTATAAATCTTTCGAATTTATAAATTTAAAAGGTTTGTAATTTGAAAACAAATTGAACAAAATTGCATTAAAAACCTTTTGCATTTGTAATTATTTATTTGGATATATTACATTGTAATATTGTTTAAAATATTTTTATTTTATTTTATTATTTAACTATTTATTTAATTATGTTTCTTTCATTTTAATTCATTGTTTTATCTCAAACCTATTTCAGACAAAACAAAGTATTTTTTAAGAATTTTTTTTATAAAAGTTATTTTTTTTTTTAAATCTATGTTGGCAAAAGAACATTTTTTTGTTGCATTGTACACGCCTGGGATGAAGCTATGTGACGGATCCAGGATGGACATACCCTATCCCCCTAGATCCGTCACTGCTCTGCTGAGCCCGTAAACGGAAACATGACGAATTGACGTCTATTGAGGTATCAGACTTTATTAGGAAAGGAAAAATGGTTTTCTGAGGTTATAATTTCATGTCACCATGGATCAACTTGTAACCGAGATTGAAAGGAGAAGACAAGCTTATGCTTCTCTTTTTTTGGATTCTTTGTCCGTCTTTTAAATATGGATTCTGATATATATATTTTTAAATTTATTTATTACAGTAATTAATACAACTTCTTGATTGAATTGATGAAGGGAAGCACATCAGGTTTTCCTATGCTGACAATGGACATTACTGCAGCCGAAGCAGCATTTTTAACGTGTTTTTTATAAAAGTGCACAGTGGGTGCATCAACTTTATTCTGAGATAATTTGTTCCATCGGTTAGTAACTCGGTTTGTAAAGAAGTGCTGACGTTCTGAATTTCTTTTGATCAGTTGTGGTTTAAAAGATCGGCTGTTTCTTCTCAGATTATATCGTGAATTTAACAAAAAAGGCTGGGCTTGTGGTATGTAAAATTTAACTTCTTGTAACTGATGTGCAATTTTGTATTGCAGTATAAGGCGTTGTCAATGTCCGTTTGCAGTGTTTCATAATCAGAGGATGATTGATTATTATTTATGATATGATCACAGCGTGTGCTAAAGAACTCTTTAAACTTACCTAAACGATGCGGACATTTATATTCTAAATAAAAAACTGCTTTACAAGAATTTTGTTCCCAATTCAGTTGAAACTAAATTAGTGAATCCAAAAAAACAAATCAATATACTTCTGATTATTTAAATTATTTAAGATTTTTTTATCAAAGGAACTTGAATCCAGTCTTTAAAAATTGTAACGGAGAAAAGTCTTTTTTAAACTTCAAAAAGGTATTAAAAAAAGAAATTGCTACAGTTCTAATAGTAGACAAAAAAAAAAAAAAAATTCCTTTTCAGCGCTAGCATTTACTTGTTCGTTTTTGGACAATGCAGTAGTTTTAATTAGCAATATAAGTTTTAATGGACAATGCAGTAGTTTTAATTAGCATATAAAAAAATCGACTTGAAAAACAGATACAATTTTTTTAAGGGAGGGAAGGAGGAGGGGGAGGGGTCTAAATAGGCTACAACTGTTATTTCCCTTGAAAGGAGGGGGGGGGGAGCAACCAGGATGACCTAAAAACGGGCTTTACTTATTGCCTAAAATATAAATTCCAATGAACTTAATTATTGAGACTTTTTTTAATTTAAATTTAAACAAACTTACAAAAATTTATTTAATGTGAAACTTGTTTTTTTTCTTTCTGTTTACAGAATTTTTAAGTCTACTCTTATAATGGATGATGAAATTCTAAAAGTATTAGTAGAGGTGCTCGTCTTTCATTCTATTTCTTTACTCGGTTTTAACACGTTTCATTTTTCAGACAAAATAGGTTTCCACAGTTTTTATCAAAACGTGTAAATAGTGCTACGAATTAGATACAAAACGTCAATAAAGTAAACAAAAAATTAAGTTGCATATAATAATTATAATAGTACATGCTATTGATATTAAATGAACAAAAACTAAAGATTGAAAATGTTAAATCAAATGAAAAGATCCTTGGGCGTTAAGATTATTTACTTGACTAAATTGACTTTTAGTCGATTAGTGAAAAAACATTAGTCCAATAACTTTTTTTTAAAAAGATTTGATTGAAATTTTACAATATTTTAAAACATTCTTCTTCATCAAAATTTTAAACAACTCTCTCTTTTCTTTCAAATTCCAAAACTGGAACGTTTTTTTCAATATTGACACAACATTTTTTGCATGTAATTTTTTGGCCATTTATCATGCACTGGACGAATTTTAAACCAAGCTTCAAACACTTTTCTTGTAAAGAGTTGTTTATTCTGTATTACCTGTAATTAATTGATTATCAGTAAATAGCAAATTTGATTTTTCAACAGTCTGATAAAAAAAAATTACTTTGTTTCTAAGCAGAATAGTTGAAATATCCTCTATTTTAAAAACGTATGTAGGTATTCGAGATACAGAAAAATGATTTCGAGACAGCGTCTATTTTGTTAAAAAAACTAATATCATATTTGCATAGCTCAAGACCGTAAATAAACTTTGGCATAGTTAAGGTATTGTACAAATGGACAGTTGACGGTTGGCAATTACGAATCCCACTGTCTATTAGAGCTATTGCAACCGCTAATGTTGCAATTTTGTTTTTGCTAGCATCATTATCCCATTGGTAACCCAGATGTTTTAATTTATTTTAAAGATATATAGAAGCTCTGTTAATTTAAATAACGTTGTTAGAAATATTTCTTTTCTTAACAATCAGAAGCTCCGTTTTCTCAGTGTTAATCTTGATAAAGTTTGCTACTTTATGTTATTATTATTATTATAGTTGTAGCCGTAAATTTACATAGAATGTACACATACAGCGAGCAGGGAAAACACCCCACTATAAACAACCAGTTTTATAAATATTTGTTCCAAACTTATTCCACAACCAATATTTGTTCCAAACTTATTCCAAACTTATTCCACAATAATTAAATCGATTATTCGCATTATGACTATTTTCAACTAATTGATATCGGTAATGACACAAGTTTTTGAAAACACGAAATAAAACAAATAATCTTTAAGAAAAATACTTGTTCTTTAAATTATTTTTTTTGCAATATTTCAAGTGGTTTTTATACTTTATTTAGATTGGGCTCAAGCTAGGACTGTGTTAGTAAAAATGCCTAAGTTTGCAATGTGTAAATACAGCTGCTAAAACCACCCATGTAAACTTTTTAATTATAGCTCTTTTTTATTATTTGAAGTTTATTTTTTGTCACAAGACATCTTATTGTCAACTTTTTAAATCGAGAGTTAATGATAGTTATTTTAATAAAAATAACATAAAAAACTCATTAGAATTTTTTAAAAAAAATATTTATTATATACACAAAAACTATTTTACAATTTTTCATTTTATAAACTAAACGGTAGTATGAACGATAATGTATGTTACCATAGATACATTTTAAAAAATTACTATTATTTAGCTCGTTGACTAATTAGAAAAAAAAACTACATTACTAGCTCGTTAATATAAAAAAGAGCGAGCGTTATTGGAACGCTAATAAATAAAATAAAAAAACCCTGAAAAATTATGCGATTTGCAGCAATAGTTTTTTAAAAAAAAGCCATTAAAACAAAAGTTGCCAAGTGAATGTCACAAATAAACTTTCAGCTCCGTACATATACAATAGCCCACACATATATTAAATGTGATAAACTTAAAAGAATATATTAAAAGAAAAATCCAAACAATATTCTTTTAAAATGCTAAAAATATTTTATATTTTCAAATCCAATTTATCAATAGCTATATAACATACCATATAGTTAAATTATCAAAAACCGCTGCTGAATCGATCAGGAAACAAAACTGGTGCAACCATAGTCCACATATATAGTAAAATGCAAACCCATGAAGCAACAATTTGCACCCACATAGAGGGCCAACTAGCAGCAAACTCAAAACCTTTATTAACAGTTTCCGGTCTAAGAAAAAATCACCAAAGCACAATGGTTATAATTAAAATAACTAAACATTATTTTTCTTGAATCACGAGGTCGAAAAAAAAATTTATTAAAAAAAGATCTTTTAAAAACTATTTAAAATGCTTTTTCTTTACGAATTTCTTTAATTTTTCTTGAAAAGTTTAGAAATTAAAGAATATGAAAATTTTTTTAGATTTAAAAAAAAAAAAAAAAAAATTTTTTCTAAAAATCAATTGTACACTATTGGCTAATACATAAATAAATTTCGATGGGCCTGGAAATGTGGGATTTTGGTGGACTGACCTTTTTATGTACAAAATTAACCTTTCTCATTTTATACCATTCCAAATTTTTTTAGTGTAGTAGCAAGAAGCTAAACCAGGCTAAAACAAACAAGGTCTGGTCTTTAACCTTACCACTTCATACCTCTCATAAGTTGCAGCAAGGCATTTTTAAACCGCTTAAAACTTTTTAAAATATAGAATGTGGATCATGATTGCGTGAGCATCCTGGACGAAAAATAACAAATTATCAACTTGGAGGTATATTCTGCGAAATTGCTTGTTCTGTCTTTTGTACATCTGGAGTTTATCTTTTGTGTTGAGATACAATTCCAGACATTAATTTTAATAATGACAAAGCTCTGGTTTTTAATAATTTAATTCTGAGCAAAATTTTTTGAAAATGTTTTAAATAGATCACAGTTACTGTGATTTTTTAGAATAATAAGTTTTTAGAACAATAAATATACTTGCCTATGTGTGAAGCAAATCAAATAATACCAAATCAATAAATAATAACAAATTAATAATTAAATTTTCATATTTCACTTATTTTATACATGTTTTATATATGTATAATGCAAATTTTATTTCAATTTGAATTAATGGAGTTAAAAAAAAACTTACTTAAACCAGTTTGTCAGAACCATCATACAGTAAAATGAGGCTAGCATGCATGTTAAATGAAACAACCAATAAGAATATTGTACACTTTCTGTTTCATCATCAGCAACCTTCTGTTTATGTGCTTCTTCATCTATGAGAAAAAATTTTAAAAATTATATATAAATATATATATATATATATATATATATATATATATATATATATATATATATATATATATATATATATATATATATATATATATATATATATATATATATATATATATATATATATCAGGCTTGTGAAGCCGACTGTTTTTTTTACGGCTCGGCTCCGGCTACCGGCTACGGCTCCCGAACTTTATGAACAAAAATCGCAAGTTTTGGAAATTTTTTTGATCACATTTGCCAACCCATAACTATGCTAACTACAGCAATTAATTTTTAACCAACTCTCATGATTACACGGTTATTGTATTGCTATCATTACTCTACTCAACTACCGGATATTACCTTTGAAAAGAAAAATGTTTTGGGTAAACAAACACTTTTTTCTATATATTATTTACCCAAAACTAGAGTTTATAGTCCATATTTTAATTCTAATTCTACCCAAGGAGCACGTACCTAAAAAAGACGTCTTTTGAAAGTCCCAAAGACGTCCAAAACGTTCAAAAGGCATCTAAAACTTTCTAAAGACGTTAAAAAGACCTCTATTGTGTGTCCCGTGCCCACTGGGTAAAACATGCAATCGTTAAATTCAATACGATAAAAAATTCAAAAAAAAAAAAAAAAAAAAAAAAAAGAAATAGTTCAACTAATGCAAAAACTTCAATATTTATTTTAATCTACACTCTAAGATGAATTCAGGGAAATTATTACATGAATTATTCATGTAATTTTTTCGCCCTTAAAATCAGGCCAATTTCCTGATTTTCAGTTAATTAATTCAGGCGATTTCGTTCTCTGATTTATTCAGGCGCTCAAATCTAGAAAAACGTGTTGAGTCCATATCGAAATATTTAAAAGGGAAATTTCTAGCGTGGTAAGTACATGTACAGCGTGGAAATTTCAATAAAAATTGAGTGCTTTGTTGAAAAAGTTGCAAAATAAAAGCTTTTAAAATGTTATACTTATTACGGAAATTAAGTTATTATAATATAATTATTGTATTCAAATACTTCATATATTGTATATGAAGCAATTATAATAACTTCATATACAATATATGAAGTTATTATAAATTTCATAAAATTTATGAGTTATTATTTATAATATATCATGGCCTACTTAAATCAATCTTAAGTCAATAGAAGTTATACTTAAGTCAATAGAAGTTATATTTAAGTCAATAGAAGTTATACTTAAGTCAATAGAAGATATACCTTCTATTATATAAGTTTAACTTATAATTATATAACTTATAAGTTATATTTTAGGTATAACTTCTATACTTAAACTACACGGCCTGAAGAGAGCAGTTTTTTTACGGCTCTAGTATAAAAACTTCATTTTTGTTATGGTTAAGAGTCTTGTTTGTACTATAATTGTTTTATTTTTATTTTATTAAAATGGTTTAATAATAGTGAGATTTTCTTTGAATACTTACATTATTTTCTGCTAGAATTTTTGTTAACTGATTGCCTGCTTCAGTTTATTCCAATAACAAAGAATACTGAAATTGTCTTTCAGATAGCTATATCAAAATTACAACATGCTACTAAAAATAATCTTAAATATTGCTAAAACTACCTAAAACTCTCCATTGGAAATAATTTTAAAGGTTTGTAGTTTTTTTATTTATTATAATTGCAATTATTAAGTAGAAAACATAAATTTTTCTTCAAAATATTTACTCTATTATGTAAATACTCTATTATGCATCATGTCTCAAACATACAGCAATTAAAATGCAACAAATGGGGTCATTTATTTACAGTAGGCAAGAAATATCAGGCATACCAACTGTTTTGAAGTCAATAGCTGTCAATAAAATTCTTTTTTTTTCGCATTGCCCAATAAATGCTTATTTAAACTTATTTAAATGGTTTCGCAGTGGTGAAAATTACAAATTGAAAAACTATAATATATTAAAAAAATTATTGACAAAAATTTGGTATTAAGTGATTATTTGTTTCTTGTGGGTAAGATGTACTTCCAAAGAGCAGCCCAAAGTGCTTAACAATTTGATGAAGATTGAGAAAATAATTTTTATAAAGAATATGTTTTTGTTTTTATGATTGTTTGTATGATTTTGTTTAAATGATTGTAATTTATTCTTATGTTTTGAAATCCTCACCTAAAGTTTACATAACAGGTTTATGTTTGAAAAAAGAAATTGATGAGTGTATTACCTCAATGCACAAATCTGAATTTAAATCAAGATCTGTTGTTAACGATAACCATTCTACAAATGTTAATGCATTTTTATAGTTTCATAAAGCATATACTGTAGATGGAAAATTATTAATTTATCATTTAGTTTAGAAAAGGAGTGTTTAAAACATACTTGTTATTTGATAAACTATGTTTTTGTTTTTTTCTTCTTTTTCAATTGATTTTTCTAGAGACTATGTTGAAGTAACTTAAGCAGGGAATATATTTCTTAAAGTTTATTAAAAGATCAATTATTAAACAGGCAAGAAAAAACAAGAAAAATTAGTTATCAAGTCACATATTTTGGAAACAACAAACAAGTTGTCAACATCAACAATATTTGACGAAACTGTAATTTAGTTATTTTTCTGAAAGAAATAACGCAGTACAATTTCTATCATTGTTTTATAAGTTATTTATCATACTTAATTCATTCATTGTTTTATAAGTTATTTATCATACTTAATTCATATATATATATATATATATATATATATATATATATATATATATATATATATATATATATATATATATATATATATATATATATATATATATATATATATATATATATATATATATATATATATTATAAAGCAAGTTATATTGGTAAAAATTAACAAAAAGATTTTGCTGTTAAACTTATGATCAGTAAACATTATTTTATAAAGAGAAGAACCTATATATTCAATTCAACCTCTGTTTAATTTTATTTGTTATCTTTTTAGTATTTTATGTAATTTCTCCTATTCTAATAAAACATTGCAGTCATGCTTTTTCAATTAAAAATTTGCAAAACAAATTTTAAAGATTTGATGTAGCAGTGTCAATTTTACAAATAAAAGCTACTAAAAGTGGGGAATCAAATGTAGATCTTGTATTGCTATTAATATTTTTTATAATAATTTGTAAAAAAATTTCATATCCATTGAGAAAAGATCAAGTAAAAGAATTCCAAAAGAGACAAAGACAAAATAAACATTTCTAGCAAAAATGTTTTCATTCTTTCAATTTCAATTATAAAAAAATACAAAACTACAAACCTTTTTTTTTTGTTCAATGGAGAGTTTTAGGCAATCTTAGCAACATGAAAGATTATTTTTAGTAGCATGTTGGTATGTGTTGATATAGTTATCTGAAAGCCTATTTCAGTATTCTGTGTTGTTGGAATAAATTGAAGCAGGCAATCAGTTAACAGAAAACGCAGCACAAAATAATGTAAGTACTCAAAGAAGATCTAACTATCATTAAACCATTTTAATAAAATTATAATAAAACAATTAGAGTGCAAACAAGACTTTAACCATAAAAAAATGAAGTTTTTATACTTATGGCGTAAAAAAACTGGCTTCTTTATTTTTTATGGAAAATGCAACAAATCAGGCCGTGTAATTTAAGTAGGCCATGGATAAATAAAGTTTAATTAACTGGTTTCTTAATATAAATTAGTTTTTTTGATTTACTTGACAATTGAGTATGGCTCAATTACCCTCTGAATTGTTTCATGCGTTTCTTGAAGAATTGTCTTTCAAGAAGTTAGAGAATAGTATGCAGGTTCTTGAAGGTATGTTAATTTTCTGTACATTAGACTTGATTAGTAATTTATTTTTTTTAATAAAATTTGGAAGTAGTAATTTAAATAAACTTAATTTTCAATTTACTTGTAGTACTGTAATACCTTCAGTACTAGATGCAAATTTAACAGCACTAATTAAAGTTGAAATAAATTCAAAAAAATATTAAATGTATGTTTCTATATATTCAAAATATAATATTTGAATTAAATGTTAAATTATCTATTTTGTCTATATAAGAAAAAAAATTAAATCCATTTTTTTAAATTAATATTTTTTAAGAAAATGGTATTGATGCTGATGCGATGGTTCTGGTTACCATTGAAGATTTAAAGTTAATGTTTCCAAAGCTTGGAGATTTTTTAATGATTAAGAGTGTATTTTTAGCTATATATTCTAAGGTAATTTTTCAACTAAAACTATTTTTTTCTGTTTACAGGTTCACTAATAAAATTAATCAATAAAAATGCAATTAACATGCTTTAAATGTACTCGCAATTTCCCTACAATAAATTTTTTACTTTGCCATTTAAAAGGTATACATGCACTTGAGGAGCCATGTGAACTAATATGTGGCCAAAAAAGATGCAAAAGATTATTTACATCTTTTCATAGTTTTCAAAAACATGTGCGTTCTCATATTAAAAAGCAAGCTCAGAAAGTGCCTTTTGTTACTAATCAATTATTTGATTTACCACAAAGCAATATTAATACCTGAGACAGCTTTATGCCAGAAGATTTTAATAATTTTAATGATGCTCCTGATGCACAACCAATTCTTGATATAGCTGGATGTTTTGACCATAGAGGAATATTCTTACCAGCTGCCAGGTTTCTTCTTAATCTAATGTCTGCCGCTATTCCATTAAGCAATATAAATGACATCCGTAATGGTTTGGATGAGATGTTTTCTGTTTTTGCTTGTGCTGTGTAATATAAAGTCAGTGAAGTATTTACTATGAATAGTTTAGAGAATAAAAACACTGCAGAAATTTTTCTTACTCCTCTTAAACATCCATTCCAGAATATTGACACTGTGAAAAAGCTGAGTACATATCTAGAAAAGGTTGGTGCATTAAATATCCCTACTGAAATTGTATTGGGACATCGGTGGGAAACAAAGATGGGCAAGCAAGTTCAAGTAGAAGACACTTTTATGTTTGTACCCATCAGCAAAACCCTTAAGTATATTTTTAGACATTCAAATTGTTGGTCAGCCTGCACTTTTAACGAAACTATAGCTGAAGGTGGAATCTTGTGTGACTACCAAGATGGAAGTAATTACACCGAAATCGCCATCCCTTGCCTTCAGTTGATTTTATTACACACGAACTTGTTATTCAACTTTATTATGATGATGTGGAAGCAGTAAATCCTATAGGAACAAAAGCGTCCATACACAAGCTTGGAGCATTCTACTTTATTTTGAAAAATTTTCCAGCTATTTTTAATTCTAATTTAGCAAATGTACATTTAGTTGCATTGACATATGTCAATGACATAAAAAAGTATGGCATTAATGCAGTTTTAAGATCAATTGTTGATGATTTAACATGTATGGAGGATGGATTTCAAATTGAAGTTCAGGGTGAAGCAACTTCAAGACGTGTGCGATGCATTCTTGGTCAAATTACAGGTGACAACCTTGGACTTAGTACTTGTTTAGGCTTTGTAGAGTCTTTTAATAGTGACTTTTGTTGTGATCTATGCACAGCTGACAAAAAAACAATGCAAAACAGTTTTAAAGAAGTTCCAAAGCTTCAACGAACTGTAGCACAATATGAGGCAATTGTTAATAAATTAGCAGCACAGCAAGTTTATAAAGCTGAGTTTGGAATTAAAGTTGTAAGTATTTTGAAAGAACTTAAGTACTATCATCCGGCTAAAAATGATACTGGAGATATCATGCATGATATTTTGGAAGGTATAGCTCCTTTAGAAATCAAGTTAGTTCTTTATAATTTTATTTACATTCAAAATCTTTTTGATTTAAATTTGTTAAATAATCGTCTTAGACATTTTCCTTATGGATTAACATTACAAGACAAAAAACCCAGTCTGATAACTGAAAATCGTTTAAAAGATAACAGTTCTCTTCTCGGACAGAGATCTAGTCAAACAATGACTTTATTAATTGTCCTGCCTTTGTTGATTGGTGATAAAGTACCAAGTGACTCTGAACACTGGAAACTTTTGCTGCTACTGTTAAAAATTTCAAACATTGTATTTTCACCTGCAGTCCACAAATCTGACATGACATACTTAGCTGCTTTGATTGCTGACCATAACTCACTGTTCAAAAATCTTTTTCCAAATAAGAATTTAATGTACAAACACCACAGGCTTACACATTATCCAAGTCTAATCCTAAAAAATGGGCCACTAGCCAGGATGTGGTGTATGCGTTTTGAAGCCAAACACAATTTTTTTGAGAGAATAGCCCACATTGTGTGTAATTTTTGTAACATTGCGTACACTCTTGCATTTCGTCATCAACTTGCACAATGTAGTCAGTGGTGGAAAAAAACTGGTTTTAAACAAAGTCTTGTTGTGGGCACATTTACAGAAACACTTTTATATCTTGTGCCAAATGGAGAAACAATATCATCACATTTCGCAGATAAACATGTTGTTGTATATATTGCAAATTTTATTGAAGCCTATGGTACTGTTTACAAACCTGTTATGTCACTAATAGCAGACATTAATGAACATGGAGAGCCAACTTTTATTTGTATAGACAAGATTGTGATAATGGACAAAAAAGCTCATTTGTTATGTCTTAATTTTAGGCTAATTCAGTTTGATGAGCATCTTCACAGCTACACTGTAACTTGTGATGACACCAACACTGTCAGCTGTTACACACTTGATAGTTTGCATGATTATCATCCTGTTTTTTCAGGTACTTGTTACAATCCAAACTGTCACTTTGTTCACATTTCATTGCGTCACACATTATGTGCAGATAACACATAAATATGATATAATATGGAAGTCAAATATTTTGATTTGTAGAATGTACATTATAAGATTATCAATTTTACTTAAATAAGTTGTTTTTCTTGATACCATGTGTGTTTGTGTGCTTTGCTTTTGTATTGTATTATTTACTAGTGATACTTATGCTTTTTGAAATTACCAATTAATATAATTTGACCATTAATTATTTGATTTTGTTAATGTTAAATACTTTTTGTATATATATTCATATATATATATATATATGTATATATATATATATGTATATATATATATATATATATGTGTATATATATATATATATATATATATATATATATATATATATATATATATATATATATATATATATATATATATATATATATATATATATATATATATATATATATATATATATATATATACAGTGCTCAAAGTGGAGAAAAAAAGTAACAGGATAGTATTCAGTAAATTAAAAATATCATCCCACCTCACCATCCTAATCATTGTTATATACAGAGATTTTAAAAAAGGTGGCCAAATGGTTTATACTTTAAAAAAGGCGATGACATCATGCCCCACTTCAAGCACTGTATATGTAACTTTGAGATTTACATTGATACTTGTCTCTAATATATCAACAATTATGTATAATTTTTTTATTAACTGTTGGTATTGAAATATGTATCAGTATGTAAATCGCCTTCTATTATCTCAATATTTGGATGAAGACAAAGGTGTTAACTTACATTATTCTTAGCATATTTGTTTAATTACAGAATGTACAGCCTCCTTGTCTTATCAATACCAATGAAGCATATATACCTTTAGAAAGCTCTGCATCTACATATACTGATGTAAGACAGTCTATTGAACCAACAACAACAATCACAACAGATCAAATAAGTTTTAATGTTGTCAGCAGTTCTTCTAGTTCACATCAATGTCAATATAAGTTTGTGAGTGAAATTTATTTAATAAATAATATTAAATGAAAACTTTTGGCTTTTTTAATAAAATTGATATATTTATTAATAAGCATAGTAAATAGTTATCTTTATTAGCTTGCATTTGCTAATAAAGATTTTTTTTTTCTATAATTTTTTTTTAAATTGCTATTGTGAGTTATGTTTGTTGTTCAATTTAATCATAAATGCATTTTATTTATAATTTTGTTAGAAACTTTTAAAAACTTTTCGAAATTATTTATAAAATTACGTATATTTTATTATTTGTAATATTGTAGAAGTGAATTTTAATTTTTGTTAAGGACATTGACTCTATGTTGAAAGATCACCCTAAAGGTGCATCCATCTTATCCGAATATGAGCAAACCGGGCAGTTAGTCTTGATGAAAGATCTTTTTGTGCGTATTATTGTTGGAAATCTTGTAAAAGATAGTAACTGGTTAGGAAACCTTTAATATTTTAATTTTGAAACTTGCCTTTTTCGGTATTAGTATGTAAAATCAGTTAATAAAACTAAATTTAATTAATTTTATTTTAAATTTAAATTAAAATTTATAAATTAATGATTTACTGCAAAAATTAAATGAGGAAGTAGGTAAGTTATTAAACACAGCATAATTTTTTGTTGTTGTTGTTGTTGCAGCTATTCCAATACAGACAAAAAAAAGGCTTTAGCACAAGAAGTGATAAACCGCTTTCCAACCTTAAGAAGTGGTAATGGTGATGGTTATGTAAGTATTGTTATAAGTCTAATTGAAACTTTTATTTGCATATTTTGGGAAATGGGATAATAGTTGAAATTTTTTTAGTTTAGTTTTACTAATCTTTATATTTTTACTTACTTATTTACTTAAGGATGCTTACTTCAGACAGTATGTTGAAGTATTACGAAACGGAAAAGTTAAAAAATATTCCCCATCAGGCTATATTGAAGAGCGTTTGAAAACGCTGAGAAAACAACTGCCAATTACTGACAAGCCACACAAGCCGCATCAGAAGCGCCTAAGAACAGATGCAGTTGATCTAGTCAATGGACCCATAACAGGTTTTTGCTTTAACTGTATGTTTGTAGAATGAATATTTGCATTAAGTATATATTTAAAATATATATTTATACAAATAACACTATTGTTGCAAAAGTTTGTTATTAATAATGGTAGAGTGTAATAATTTAATTATATGTTTTAGATATTTTAAAATATATTATTTAAAATATATTTTTTAATTTTCATTCTGATATATTAACAGTTTTATTGTATTTATATTTAATGGTGTATTTAAGTGCTGTATTCAAATATGCTGTTTAAAAATATAGTAAAGATGATAGTTTCTTTAAGTGCTGTATTATTATTTTATTATTATTTTCATTATTGTTTCTCATTAGAGTATTTTACAGAAGATAAAAGGGTGTTCACCCATGAACTTTTAAACGAGACACCTAACGAGAATCGCATAAAAATTATTATGGCATCAACTTATGAAAGTCGCAGTCTCTGGGTGAGGGAAGGAAGACCTCCAATAAAAACATTTTTTTCATCATTTCCCCCATTAAGAAATACTTACTCATCTGCGGTAAGCTTTTAGTTTGCTTTCAGTAATCATTGTGTAGTTAGTTGATGATATTATGAGTTGTCACTGTTGATATTAGTGGTAAACTTATAAACTAATTAAATTATTTAATAACAATATACTTTATTTTATTGAATTAACAATTACTATGGCATTTAGTTTGAAGAGGAATTCTGCAGAAGTGCACCCAACAGCAAACGGTTAGTGGATGGGCTGGGAGTTTTTCACGTATCCTTTTGTATGCCAAAGGAAAACGCAAAGGGTTGTCAACCGATCTTACAATATTACTTGACGAAATAGCAGCTAACAACAACCTACTTGAAGGTTTGTTTAATTTATTCATGTTTAAATAAAAATAGTTTCTTATCACCAAATGAGTTAGAATTAACTTATTAATTAAGTTTTTAAAAATTATATTGTTTTAATAACTTTTTATATGTGTATCTAATGGTAATATATGTATTTAGCAATATTTTTATAGATACCAAAGAAGAATACGCTCTATTACTACTTTCACTTATGTTAACGGTTCCTATGCGAAATCGGCAACGTGCCTCAGTTGCTGAAGTTTGCAAGCGATTTATCCAGCTTCATCCTGTAAGCAATGGCTGCATTTATTATATTGTGTATAATTTTTTAGCAGGGGTTTTAATTTTATGTTTAATTTGTTTAAAATGCGTAAACTATATTTATATTACCTTTTATTAGTATGGAACTTCAATGGAAAAAATTCTTTCTAAAATCAAAAGTGACAGTATTAAACAACCAATAATTATTGCATTGGGTGTAACTGGCAACATTAGCCAATCCTTTATTGTTGTAGAAAACAAAGTTATTGAATCGCGTTGTATGGTATCTGCTGTTGATAAGTGTTTCAAGCTACACTACATTGGTCAAATTGAGTACGACCAAAGTGTTAGCCATGTTTGGCAGTTTTTGCAAGTGCATTTTTATGAGATCTTAGATAATGTTTCTATCTCAGAATGTGTACGAGATCTTGTTACTTTTTTAAAAGCACGTTAAATATATTTGACACTCTTTTAAATAAGCAACATCTGCACACATTGTGATATAGAAAATTTATTAATTGTTATTCAAATGCACGCATCAACAAAATCTTTTTTATTTTATTTGCAGTATATACTAAAAACTGTAATGTTTGTAATTATAATAATAACTTTTTTTAACTTAATTATTGTAATCATCTCTACCGGCAAATTATAACTAAATAACATGATTAATGAAATCAAAATGAATTCTATCAGCATAAATTTAAGTAACTGTAATCAAATACAGTTATGAATATGAAATGTCCTAAATAATATAGTATAATATAAATTTTGAATCGCAACAGCATAACCATGTTAAAATAGGCGTGCCCAAAAACTTTACTTAACAAGATTAGGATGAGATTGTTTCATAATCAATTTTATCCACAACAAAAATGCCGACAATATAATATATATTATGTCGGTATAAAAAACCCGAGTTGATGAAAGTTTTTCCCTGAATATGCAGTAATAGAATTCCTAAATTTCAGTGCATCAAAATCCCTGATTTTCAGAAGGCTTGGTTTCCCTGATTTCCAGAGAAAAAGAATTGGCTGAATTTCAGGCGATTACGCCTGAAAATCAATTGTGCCTAAACGCAATGATTAATTCAGTGAGTTTTCCCTGAATTTCAGTTGCGGATTCCTGATTTTGTTTAAGAGTGTAAGGAACTTGAAGATTATAAAAGTGCTTTTTATTTTAATATTTTTCATTATTTTGAATAGCGAACATTTACGCTAATGACGACATCAGCTTCTGCACAGTGTTTTTAAAATTTTTTTTTCTACTAATGTTAACACTCTAACCAAATCTTTAGCTGTACTTATTGTTTTGCCCCTCTTACACAAATATCCTTTGCCGATTCTCCAAAATTTCTCAATGGGACGGAACTGTGTGTAGATTAATGGATTCAAGCTTTTTGGTATGAATTTGAAGTCTCTCGAACTGTACCAATATTCTTAAAATAATGACAAGAAGCAAGATTAGGCCAGAATTAACAGGGAACATCGTGATTTCGATAAAATTGCAATAGTCTAGCTTGCAAGTAAACTTTGATGTAAAAATTCGAGTTTAAAGTTAACGATGTGACAAAAGCTCAAGATCTCAAACCACAGCTGCATATTGCTTGTCAAAATTTAATCTTTAAAACCTCTGAAACTTTATATCTTTTGGCTTGTTCTTTGTTCGATAAGCCGGGGTTTTGATTGATGATCGTCGAATTGCTGCTTTCTTATCCTTAAAGCCACTCTTTCTTCCAGATCCTTTTGCTCGTTCGATAGATAGAGAGCTCATGTATTGTTTTATGCCCATACAAACAATAGTTTTGCTAGATTCAGATACTTTAGCGATTGAAAGTAACGATGCAGAAGAATTGGGTAGATTGTTGTGCAGAATTTTTTTTCGTTTTTTTTTTTAACTGTTTCAAACACAATTTAATTAATAGAAACATTTTGACTAGTTTGTTGATGTTTTTAATTAATACTATAATTACTTAAAGTAATTACGCAAAAAAAATAAATTAAAAATGTGTTAGAGACAAGTTTTAAATCATCGTTTCAAATTTAACGATCGCATACTTTAATATAGTTTTAAAGATATGAATAACCTTTGATCATTAAATCGCGCATCAAATATTTAACAGCATACCCGGCGGGCATTTGTTTTTAAAAGTTACGTTCTAAATGTCTTTTAAATGTCTTTTAAACGTCTTTTAAACATTCTTACGTAAAGAACGTTAAAAAGACAATTAAAAAACGTTTAAAAGACATTTAGAACGTAACTTTTAAAAACAAATGCCCGTAGGGTAGTATTAGTATAAAAATATAATTTAAAGCATATAATATAATATAAAAATATAATATAAAGCTGTAATTTTTCCATATAATTTACTTTTTTATATATATATATAAAGCATATTAAGAAATAATATTAATAAATAGTATTTTGTTGAGTACAAAATCATTAAATTAGTCATTTTTATTACGTTTTGGCAAGACCGAAACTGTTAGAAAAATAATTAAAAATAATAAAAATTCAATGTTTAACAATAAATGAATAAAGTTTTTCTAGAGTAAAAAAATAAAAAATATATATTCTATTCCTTTAAAAAAAACAAGAGAGTGAATATATATATATATATATATATACATATATATATATATATATATATATATATATATATACATATATATATATATATATATGAATAATGAAAGACAGCAAGTCTAAATGAATGATTATTCAAGACAAGACTATTTATAATATCATACAGCGGATTAAGTCAACAGATGGAATCAATTCAGGTAAACCCTGTGAAAAAGCAAGAATTACCACTTTGAAAACCAAGAACATGATACACCATTTGGCTGTTAAGATTTCAAAATCACAAATTCTTTCTCAACTGTCTCCTAATGTGAACATTATTGCCTGCACAATTCAATGACCTGTGCCAGGGACTTTAATCCTCAATCATACCGTGCTGCATCAAATTTACACCTTACTAAAATAAATACTTGAGATCACCTCAAATTTGCAAAGAAAACAAAGATTAGATTGTTTAAATGTGGTGTGCTTCATGTTCTCAGACGAACCATTAGTTGAGCAGTTTAACTTAAAATTTGCAAATAACTTTATCAAGAACATTGCGATTAAATTGTTATAAAATTAGAAACTTTAATATTCGCATGCACAATGAGCAAACATGTTATCAGGCAAAAATTATTAAGACATAACTCCTAAAAAAATGTGATTAATGTTCTTTTCTCATGGCCAGGCAATTTACCCAATTTAAATGCTATCAAAAACTGTTAGGTGAAATTGTTAGCAGAAGTTCCTAAACAGAATCAACCTCACTAGCAGATCTAAAAAAAGCCACAATGAAAGTATGATATCATAAAATAATGCCCTATATTGTGAAGTATAAAAAAAGTATATATATTATATATTTTATTTTATGCATGCATGTTACTATCTAATGCTAAGATCAATTTGATAGAGCTTCTAAAATTTACATTAAATTTTTTTTCGTTTCAATAAATGTTAGAAAAGAGAAGTGTAATGTCTGCCATAAAAATAGGCAGTACAACAAAGCAGTTTTTAACATCTTTTATTAAGTGATTTTAATCTACAATTACATAACTACAAATACTTAAACACATTTTAAATATCAGAAAAAATTAATACGATAAAAATCATTAATTGGCTGCAAAGTTTACAAATGTAAACAAACAATAAAATTTATGTTTTGTTTTAAAGATGGAAATAAACATAATGAATAAAGCATAATAAATAAGACATATGAGACATAAATTAACAGTGTAAGTAAATTAAAATTAAAATTTTTGAATTGCAATTACTCTGTCGACTTATTTTTTATTTGATTATACAAAATTTTACTTGCAGGACATTAGGGAACAATTGTTTTAGACATGACATACCATATTTCACCATGTAAACTAAGGAAAAAATTTTATATTAAAAAAAGCTTTTTACCAGTATACCTTATATAATATGTAGTGTATCTTATATCTATCTATTATCTGTATCTATTATCTTAAAAATTGTCTTCAATAAATTAAAACATTTTTTATACCTTAAACAACTTTTTTTTTAAAATTTTAATTCACCTCCCCAAGGAAATAAAGGCCACTACAGCGGAGGAGGCTACTTTAGTTGTGGCTACAAGCCTCTCAACTCTATAACTCCGAAACATGAACCTTGAAAAAAAAAGGATGCTGCATGGAAAAACAAGTTGAGTGAGGTATTATTAGAGACATGGTGGGGATTTAACTCAAAATTTGCTAATAATATATCCAAGTTTGTAAACTATTTAATAAAAAAGCAACATTTTTGATGTTTCTCGTGACATTTGTTGACAATTATGAAATATCTGTTTATTGTTAAAGAATGATGTTAACATCACTTTTTAACAGTGATGTTAATAGTAATACTGTTAAAAAAAATAGTAATACATCACTCTTTAACCTTGTTGTATGTGAGGCTTGTAACAATAATTAAAATAGTAATAATAATGAAATTGAGTATTTTTTTTTATTCATCTTCCAAGACCTCTTTGGTCTTGGAAGATATATAAAATTCATAAAAAAAAAAGAGATCCATGTAAACTACCATACCATTAAATAGTATAATAATTTACATGGATTTCTTTAACTAAGGTAAAGTCATCAAGGTAAATTGCCAAGACAACATTGAATAAAAATCCTGTATGAGTAAGATACCGTATAATAAGTAAAAAAAAAACTCATTAATCTCTATAATGAATAGCCGAATGAATATTATTATTATTATTATTAGTGCGCATAGTTACGCATTGTTACGCCTATTGTTCGTTTTGTTAATTACGGTTCTGCATTATGTAAAATACACTATTTCTTTAGTTTTGAAGTTGTTTCTAGACTTTTCTAAGCGCAGTTATATATTCCATGCGGTCTTTCGAGTAAAATCAGCAAGCAAATTGGAGCTGATGCACTTATTTTCAAAAAGAATTAATGTTTATTTTTTAAAATAAAAATTTAATTGTTAGTTTGTTGTTGCTTATTTTTATTTTTTCTAATTTTTATAGTCTGTTTTTATTTTTTAGAAGAAGTTAGAACTAAAATGTTTGGTAAAATAGTTTTTTTAGTAAAATGTTTCTTTTTTAGTAAACTGTTTCATTTTGTCGTTAGTCTTTTTAGAACATTTTAAGCAAGTATTGTTTTATTTTTTAGAGCAGTTAAGAAAAGCTGATGGTTTTTTTAGTAAGTTCAATTCGTTTTGTTATTTATAGATAAAGATTTTTTTTGCAAAAAGAATTATATATAAAATAAAGTTTTATATATGTATTTAATATGAAAAGTTAAATATAATAAGACTGTTATTTGTGTTCATGTAAGCTTATATACATAAGTTTGCATTTATTTTAGTCTATTTTATTTTTTTCTATATCAATACTATATGTATATTTTCTCTTAGCAAAAGTTATTCAGAATAGAAAAATAAAAAAAATTCTTCTGGAATTTGTCAAAAGAATGCTGTGTTATGCTTCATTTTAAGGTATCTAATTATGTATTTATTTTTTATAAGTTAGAACTAAATTGACTGGTAAAATAGTTTTATTAGTACAATGTTTCTTTTTTAAGAAAACTGTTTCAGTTTTGTCATTAGTCTTTTTAAAACATTTTAAGCAAGTATTTGCTTTATTTTTTAGGGCAGTTAAGACGAAATGATCGCTTTTTTAATAAGTTTACTTCATTTTCTCATTAATAGGCTAAGATTTTTTTATATAGAAAGAATAATGAGAATAAAATTTTATTTACGTATTTAATATGAAAAGTTAAATAAAATAAGACTGTTATTTGTGGTCATGTAAGTTTATATACATAAGTTTGCATTTGTTTCAGTCTATTTTATATTTCTCTATATCTATATGTATATTTTCTCTAAGGAAAAATAATAAGGAATAGAAAAATTTAGAAAATTTGCTCTGGAATTTGTTAAAAGAGTGTTGTGTTATGCTTCATTTTAAAGTATCTAAATATATATTCATTAGAAAATTTTAATTTTGTTTTTAAATGATTTATTCTTTTTCACTACTTTAGATAAACATATACTAACTGACATAACTTCATTTTTATTAACAATGTCGTGCATTGTAGTCTGCATTCTTTGTTACATTTAAAATAATTGATGCTAATAAATGCGGTAGTGGTGTAGTGGTAGAGCGCTCGCTTCATAAAAGAGTGGTTCCGAGTTCGATCCCCACCACGTCCCTGGTAGTACCGCGCTCAACTCGCTTCTCCGCGCAGCGGCCTTGTTCGTCAAGGTTCGTGTTTCGAAGTTATAGAGTTGAGAGAGGGTTATAGCCACAAAATAAGTAGCCTCCTCGTTTGTAGTGGCCTTCTCGGCCTTGAGGAGGTGAAGTAAAATAAAAAAAAAAAAAAAAATTGATGCTAATAAATGTTGTTTTATAGTTGTTAAAAGTTTGCATATATGTTTGCATGTATATTATAATCAAAGTTAAAATTTTTTTAATAAATACGTGTATGTGGTGATACTACTCAGGTATCACCACAGCTTATCTCTATCAGGTACATTGATTTTCAATTCACATATGATGTTTTTCTTTGTATTTATTCGTTACATTTTTAACTTCAGATTTATGGTGTATTCATTTGCTATAGAAGAACAAATCATTTTGAATTTTTTAAAAATATCTACACCAATCAACATTTAAAGTTCAATGTTGCATATACCATTTTTAAGTAGCTTCTAGGCTTTTTTAATGCTTTTCTTATTCAAGTGGTTTCATAAGCAAAGTCTACAAGCAAATTTGAGATGAAAAGTTTTTCAGCTTTCAAGGAGTATCAATGTTGTTCTTTGTTTAATTTAATTTGTTTAAATAGAGTAGTTTCAGTAAATGTTTGTTCTTGGTTTTTTACTTATTTGTTTTCAGATTCTTAAGAACTATGCAACTTAGCGAAACAAGATTTATTATATTTTTTAGTGCAATTGGAAAGAGCTAAAGTGCTTTTTAGTCACTTCAAATCATTTGTTTCTTTTTTTAAATAGAAAGGTTAATAATAAAAATATTTAGACAAATTAAGAATAGAAAAAATTTGAATATATATACATACATATATATTACTTTAGACTGACATTGCTTCATTTTTTATACAAGATTCTGCATTTAATATTTTTGTGCATTAAGATTGTGCCTGAAGGCTTTTTTAATTTAGCAAAGAATATAGAACACAATGCAAATAGCTTTGCACTGTGTTCTAAATTCTTTGCTAAATTAAAATAATGTCAATAAATTTCGTTTTATATTTTTCAGTTGTAAAAATATAAAACGTTCATTTATTCAGTTGTAACAGTAGTATAATCACTGGTAATATATATTTAATGATAACAGATGTATAATATTAGGCTCGAAGAAGTTATTAGAGTAAATGGTTATAGGTGACTTGAAATTGTTGTCATATGTAAGAAATAAATCTAGGCGCGATAAAATTAATTGTCGTTGAAATATAAGAAATTTTGCTTGATGAACCAAAAACTTACTTGGCAGAATTCAGTGTCAAGCGGTGTTGATGTCTATTATTTGACTTTACATTAGACACTTTAAAATAAAGCAAAGTATGAATTTTACTATTCATAGTAACAAATAATAACAGTTTCAATTTTAAATGAATTTTTTTTTTTTTTTTTTTTTTTTGCAATCTTAAACATAATTGTGTTCATTTTTTTTTAGTTGTCTTTGTCATCACTTGATTATTTTGCTTACTGTTGAAACATGGTTTTAATTTTGTAAATTTAATATGATGTGAAATTTACAATATTAATCATTTGTCAACAGTTAAGGAGAAGCTGGAAATTAATTAAGAAATGCTGGAAATTAACTTTTAGTTAAGATAAAAATAATTTTGTTTATTGGTAGCATAATAAAACCAGTTACTGTTATTTATTGCATGACTTTTTTACTTTTTCTAACATGGTGATTTTAAAACACTTCCTCTCTCTCTTAGATGAGACTTAAATAAGAATTAGTATTGAGAATTGTAGAGAGAGAATTGATTAAACTCTGTAATTACTGAGCTCTGATTAAACTCTGTAATTACTAAGCTCTTGCCTATTTTTTAATACTGCAAATGATAATTTGCTATTTAAAGATATAATTCTTTATATTGTCCCTTGGTTGTTCAAATATTTTAATAAATAAAATCTTTTTAGTTTCAAGTATTTTCACTTAGGGATCGTCTATATATTACGTAACGCGAAATTAAACATAGACAAAAGAAATATCTCAAAGTGTGTTTCTCTCATAGTCAACTATATGCTGCATTTTCAAGAACTATAGCATTTAATAGTTTGTTTTTCAAAATTGATAAACATCTTATTCAAGGTATAGTAGGTAAAAAAATGTATCATAAATATTGTTTTATTTTTTAAAGTTCTTAATTTATAGTCTTTAGATTTTCATTTCTAAAATTTACTGTTAAAGGTTGTGAGCACATTTTGTATGTATAACTTTATTTATCATTATTTTTTTTTTTTTTTCATAGTTATTGGTAAATATATCTATCATTCAATAGTTGTAAAATGTGTTTATATGTGTTGCATAAAGTCATATTTGTTTATAGTTATATATATGTTTAAATTATAAAAGCTAAAACAACAATTTATATCTTAGTTTGATTTTTTTTTTAGTATTGTTAATGCTTTGGTACTTCGAAACAGGTTTTATAGTTACATTTTCGATAAATCTTTAACTGCAATTTCAAAATAGGTTACTATAAATAGGTAAATCGATTTTTGGTAATTGTGTGGTGGTTTCTGTTGGTTTTTTTTCTTCGTAATTATGGTATCATAATTTCATTACTTTTTTATTTTAGAATTACATTATGACACATTTATAAGATTTATAAAATAAAAAAACCTGATTTCTTTTTATTGTAAATTTTTGTTAGTTAAAAAGATATAAATATATGCTTTTAGTTAATTTTATATTTTATCTATTATATGCCTAATAATTTGTTATATGTATTTTAAGGGGATCTTTGTAAATGGGGGGTCGTAACTAAAAACCTTTAAAAATATGGAGAATATTGTAGTTTTGCGCATTACTATCGAGTTACTTAAGTTTTATTTATTTGTTTGACTAATTAGTTAGCTTAGTCTGTATTTGCAACACTTTTGAGGAAAGAAAGAAAACATTCTTATATAAGTAGATTATTGTTTTACATTTTATTCACCTGGCCACCATTAAAGCAAAGAGAGGGAAGGAACCTCTTTATTAGAGTCAAAATATTTAGGAAAATTAAATTTCGAGTTACAAAAGGAATTTTTAGTAAATGGTGACAAATTACCATTTACTAAAAATTTAATGAAATAAAGAGGCCAAACAAATAATATAGAAATGGTCTTTGTTGAACAGACTTAACAAGACCCGAGTCGGGTCAGCTTGGTTTACAAATTTTTATGTCTACTTATCTTTTACAATTTTTATTTTAGTTTGTCATATGATGCATTAATGTATTAAAAATTTGTTATACCCATGTTTGATCGTAAATTAAATTTTTTTGTTTGAAAGGTATTTGTACTCAGTTGCGTAGTTATAATAAACTTTGTTATTTTTTATAAATTTATTTAAATGTGTGCATTTAACATTTTTAAGTTAACAATTTTCTTTTCTAAAGAACAATTAATCAAGGGGATATCAAAAAATTGATAACTCCTGTATAATAGAAGTTAACTTCATTTTAATCTTAATGGTTTGTGTTATAAAAATTATTACAAGGATTTAGTTGACACTTTTGTCAATTTAAAGCATGACCAAGTGTTATTATTTTGTGTCAGTAACTAAAAACGTATTGTGTTAAACTAAGGAAGGTCGATGAAAATGGTTCTGCCATACACTGTTATGACCTATGCCATTTGTAAATTACTTAATGTTAAGTAGTATTTGTAAATGTTAAGTAGTAGTTGGTAAATTATTTTACCTCCTCATAATTTTTATGTTAATTTTACAGATGGATTAATTTTTTCAAGCTGAAGGCAATTTTCTAAAAGGGTATTAGTTAAGGTTTTGCAACATTAAATTGTGGAAAACAGCCACTATAAATTATTTATGTAACAGACCAACCATAACCCGTATTATGGGTTGCCTCTTGCTAGTTTTAAATAATAGAGATAGTGTAAAAACACTTAGCTTCATGAACTGTAAAACGGATTAACACTTGGAAGGACATGCAGTTATCAAAATCTTTTCTAGAATATGGAAATTGTGAGTGTATTTGTTAGAGTGCATAAAGGAAGGTTAAGAGTTTGAGTATATAATATGTATGTATAAAAATTTTTTTAGAATTGCTCACCTTCAATTACACCAACATCGTCATGTGATTTCTTGAAACTAGCATAAAAGACAGTAATTAATGCAATCACAATGCCTACTACAAGCATTGCAACACCAGCACCATTTATATTTGATAAATTGTAAGGACATTCCCAAGACTTGCTACCTAAAAAATTTATTTAATCACTGCAGCTAAAAAAAAATTCATGAAATTCTATTAAAATTTCTATCAAAAATCAAAGATAATTGAATCAAATAAAAAATTTAAATCTATTTATTAGCAATCAATTATAAATTATACAGAAATTTTTTATATTTATAATTTAAACTACATTTTTTTTATAATTTAATTAAATATTATATAATATATGGTATATTATATAATATTCAATAAAATATAAATAATAAATTACTCTTAAAATTTAAAACTGCTTTCTTCTAAACATTACTATATAGAATACACAATAATAAAACAATAGAATACAATAATAGTATACAATAACTGCATAAGCATATTAAATTTAATAGTTTTTAAATAACAAAAACAATAGCTATAATCTTGTTTTTAATAGTTTTTATGTATACATTTTTTCTTTTTATTTTCTATATTTTCTTATTGTAAACATAGTTGGTCCTGCTCTTGCAGCCAACCTACAACCTTTGTCACATCGTCGTAATGTTGCTTCTCTTTCTCTTTTCTACAAATACTAAAATGGGCACTGCTCTAAAGAGCTAGCGTCTCTTATGCCATCTACTAAAATTCATTCTCTTGTTACTCGCCATTCAATTAAGTGTCATCCTTTTTCTGTTACTGTTCCTAAGTGCTCTAAAAATTATTATTCATCTAGTTTTTTTCCTTGAAAATTATTTATTTGGAATTCGCTTCCTTCATCTTGCTTTCCTGATTTATATAATTTGCAATCTTTCAAGTCGTCTGTCAATCAATATCTTACTCTACAATGTTTATCTTTTCTCTTCCAGTAACTTCCAACACTAATTAGTGGTTGGTTGCAGCCTTGTTGGAAGCGAAGATGTTTAAAAAATAATAAAAAATTTGTTTTATTTTGCTTTTACATGCTACAAAGTTTGTAGTGCTTTTACATGAAGCAAAATGTATGTTATTTTTACAAGTAGCAAAGTTGAATTAGTTTCTTTAATTTTATTGTAGAGTAGCTTTTTAACTATTTTTTAAACATTTAACTATTTGGATGTAAACAACAAATTAATGTAAAACTTTTTGATAGCCAGCAAGTGTAGGTGGGTGTCTATCAGACAATCAGAAAAAGATAAAATAATTACAAAGTTCATTTCATTTCAAAATTTCAATTAAATATTCAATTAGAAATCTTGCAAACTCATTTGGTGTGGTCTGCAAATTTATTTGATGTGGGTCCACATACTTTTATTTACAAAGAAGGGGAAAAAAAAAGGTAGCTTATGAGTTTTATAAAACATCAACAAGTTTTCTGCATTATATTATTTTTACTTTTGCTAACCAGACTCATAAAATAGTTAAATTGTGTTTGATGCTTCAATAACTTTAAACCAAATAAATAATAATAAAAAAAAACTTTTTAAAATATTATCATTTGCAGAGATCAAAAAGTGGATAAAAAATGTATATTAAGTTTAAAACAATTGAGATGAATTGGGAAAAGAGACATGTGAAACTAATAAAGCAGAAAAAAGTAAAAAAAAACTCTTTATTACTCTATATTAATATATAAAAAACCATTTTTTTGACAAGGGCTTCGTTTTTTGTTTTTTTTTGGTGTTTTTGGTGTTTTTAAACAAACCACTAAAAATAACTTTAATTTTGAGGTGATATATATTTAAAGACATTTCTATTTTTCTATTTACCATTATCATGAATAAAAGTATTTTTTTTTTAAATTTTCATTAAATAATATCAGCAATTGTTCTCCAATTACTAACTATAAGTTCTTCAGTTGTTCATTAAACAGTTTCAGTAATTGTTCTTTAATTACATACTTTACTATTTCATATTACTTTAAAAATAAAATATAAAAATAAAAGAAAAAAAGATCATTTAGCAAATCTTTTTTTAATAAAATATAGTAGCAATATAACAGAGAGAACTTTTTTGTCCTTTTAACGCAGAAATGTTTTTTGAGATAAGAACTATTTTCTTTAACAATAGAATGAATGAGAAAGGAAAAAAAAATTATAATCTTATGAATGAAATACCACTGCATTGCAAAATGTAAAAGTATTTTAAGTTTCAATGATACTTTGGCACAGTTTTATTAGTAGTTTTTTGTTCATCAAACTTTACTTGGTATCTGGGTAATTCCATGTAAAAGTGGGACAAAAAAATGAAATTTTTCAGTCACCCTCTCAGATTTCTTTCAAATTTGAACCAGTGGTACCTATCAATATAACAAAAAAAAAAATGTAAAGTTTGAGCTTCCAAATCCAAACCGTTCAAAAGTTATGACATTTTGAAATTCAGTCTAAAACGTCCTATTTTTTTCCACTTCCGCCATTATGAACTTTGTAGTAGTACTTTTAATTGAATAATTTAAGATCTAGTGGAGGAATGTGGCTGAAAATCAGTACCTGACCATTTTTGAGGGTGCTGAATTCAAAAATGTAGATAAAATAGTGAAATTTAAATTTTTTGATAGTTATTTTTTCATTTTAAAATGGCTAGTAAAATTTTTTGTTTTGTAACCATGGGTTGCGCTTTCATTAATTCCCGAAGTTGCCCAAGTCTCATGGATTCGATTTTTTTTTCAAATGAAGTAGGTGATCCTAGGCTATCTTTATAAAAAAAATGGTCTTGGGTTCTTAAAGCATAGAAAAGTTATTTCATTTTGAAATTTAGACAAAAAATTTCTTTATTTGGCATCTATTCTCTATTATAGATTTTATAGAGATACTATTGTGTGAATAATTTAAGATCTAGTAGAGAAATATGACTGCAAATTGGTATCTGACCATTTTTAAAGGTGTTGAATACAAAGACGAAGAGAAATTAACCCAATTCCTAATATTTTAAAATAATATTTGAATTTTAAAATGGTATAATATTACCTAACCAAAAAACGGGGTAACATTTTCACAAATTGCCTGACTCTCATGGGTTCAATTGTGGTGTGTAAAAACAGTTTATTAAGGTTGATTTTGATATAGAAATAAAATTTTGTGAAGTGAATTATCATGAAAAATATAGTTTTGCAACACCAGCTGTGATGTGTAAATATAGTTTTGGGACGTCAGTTATGTGTCTAAATATAGTTTTAAAACAACAGTTAATAATAACAAATTTCAATAAAAAAAATTATTTTAATTTTAGATTAAATAATTATTAAATCTTGTTTGGTAATTCAGTTTCTTAGTCATGGCAAACAGTCAAAAGTGCTCTATTGGAATCAACCTAGAAAGTGAATGTCATCTTACAACATATACATCGTTGCTGGGAATCGAACCTTTTGAAGATATTATTGAATATGAAAGAGAAATATTAATGTGGAGGACTGGGCTCTCAATAATAAATATCAAACCAACAACTTGTCTCCATCATAAACATATTTATTTGAAGCGTTATACAACTAAATTAACACGGTGCTGCAATCCATTTAATACTCATAACAAAACTATAAAAGGTATTTATAGTAATCATGAATTTATAGTATAACTTTTAGTTTTGTAGAAACGTTTTGAATTACAATAATGAAATTCTTGGCAGCAAAATTCTATTTTAGCTATATTTAACCTTTTAGCTGACTTCTGAAAGTGCACAATTAAATGCCATACAACTTTAAACTTTTGAAGGTTTTATTAAAAATTTTATACATATTAAAAGAGTTCTTCCCTTTTTTTAGGTAGTCTTCGTGAAATCAACTTGGATACAGCAAAATACCTATGCAGTAAAGGCAAATTCGTAGTTCCAGGTGAAAAACTTTGTACACAATGCAGGCATAAATTAGCAAGTGAAGAATCAGAAGAGAAGGAGTTGGAGATAAAATTACCTGAAGATAATATAGAAAAAGATCTTATACTGGAATCAACAAGATCGTTGCTCAACAGTACTTTATGCGAACTTGAAGTGTCTCCTTTAAAAGTTCATTTACCCAAAACCTCTAACAAGCCTTCACTTGGAAAGAGAAAGATAAAGCAAGTTGAAGAAGCAGTTATTAAGAAGCTTGCAACTGCTCTGGATATAACCGAATCCGATCTTGTTGCACCAAAAAATGAAGTTCTAAAGGAAATTCAAACCAAAGCTGGCGATCTAGACTTCCTTGTAGAATGCATGAAAGAAAAACTTAAGGTTTCTAACAGGAGACAGCAACTTCAAATTTTGACATTAACCCCAAAATCTTGGTCTATCAGAAAAGCAGCAAAAGAGTTTTCAGTTTCTAAACACAAAATTCAAAATGCAAAGTTTTTACGCGACCAAAAAGGCATCATAGCATACCCTGATGTGGTTGAACGGCATCGAATCGGTAAAGATGTTATAGAACTTGTAAAGCTTTTTTACTGTGACGATGAGTATTCAAGGCAAATGCCAGGTAAAAAAGACTGTGTAAGTGTTGGGGGAAAAAAATACATGTCAAAAAAATTGATTTTGTGTAACTTAAAGGAGCTCTATGTGGCATATAAGACAAAGTACCCAGGCCATAAAATTGGATTTTCTAAATTTTGCAGTCTTCGACCTAAATGGTGCATCCTTGCTGGTCCAAAAGGTACACATTCTGTTTGTGTGTGTACAATACACCAAAATGTTAAATTAATGTTGAGTGCTATAGGCCTTGAACCATCTTACCATGAAATTATTGAAAAAATTGTCTGCAGCAGAAAATCTAAAGTTTGCATGATTCACCGATGCAATAGTTGTCCTGGCATACAACATGCCCAAAATTACTTCCAGCAGTATCTCGCACAAAATGATGATCCAAAAGAGCAATATGACAGTGATGAAAATGAACAGTCAGTGAATTTCAAACAGTGGACAACGACAGATAGAACTGAATTATTAACAATAAAACTTCCATTAAATGAATTCATAGAGCTTCTGTGTGAAAAACTTGATAATATCACTTCTCATTCATTTATAGCAAAATCACAATCTAGCTATTTAAAGCATCTCAAAGAAACAATTAGTATTGATGAGGCTATTGTACTGGCAGATTTTGCAGAGAA